GTCTGGTCCTGAATCACCTCGCCAGTGGCAGATTTCAGAGGAGCGGTCTTCCTCTGGATTGGGCCGAGGGCCTGCTTGATGCCGTCATACATTCCCCTTACATTGCCTGTATCCGCTGCAGTCTGTATCTGGGAGCAGAGCTGGAGCCAATAGTTGTTGGCACATCGCCTGGCGCTCTGCTGCACTTTCCAGCGGACGGCCCGAAGGATCAGTAAGTTGCGCTGACTTGAGCAGGCTTTGTAGGCTGCCAAGGCGTTTCTCTTCTCTTCGATGCAAGGTGTCATGTCTTCCAAGTGAGCCTCAAACCAGTCTGCCGACCTGCTGGTCTTCATGCCAAAGGTGGAAATGGCAGCGTTGAACACAGCGTCTCTGAAGTGCTCCCATCTTTTACAGGCAGTGACCCTAGCTGGGCCAGGGAGAGCTTCCTCGAGCACACGTGCAAAATCTTCCACCTTGTCCTGGTCGCGGGTCTTGGTGGTGTCGATGCGTGGTCTGCCCGCCTTTTTTGAGTGATGAATCTTCTTTGGTTGCATCTTGACCCTGCTACATACCAGGGAGTGGTCAGTGTCACAGACAGCACTCTCGTAGCTACGCGTAACCTTGATGCTGGGTAGACTTGCACGCCTGGTAAGAATTAGGTTAAGCTGGTGCCAGTGCTTGGATCTGGGGTGTCTCCAAGATACTCGGTGTTGAGGCTTTGTGCCGAAGAACGTGCTGGTAACACAGAGACCATGAAGGCAGCAGAGTTCTAACAGACTTTGTCCATTCGCATTCATCCTCCCTATACCGAATTGACCCAGACAAGTGGGCCAAATGTTGTGATCGGCACCCACTCTGGCGTTGAAGTCGCCGAGGATGAACAGTGGCTCCTTTACACGAATTCTCGCTATGATTCTGTTGAGGTCATCGTAGAATTTTTCCTTTGTCTCTGCTTGAGAAGTCAGGGTTGGTCCATATGCACTAATTACATTGACTGGTGCTGTTTGGGAGTGCAATTGCAGAGAAAGAATTCGTTCGGTTTCCCCCATCGGTGGCATTTTGTGTCCCAACAGTGCATTCATGACGGCAAATCCCACACCATGTTCTCTGGTCTCACCAGGAGGTTTTCCTTTCCAGAAGAGAGAGAATCTCTCTCTCTCAGATCCTGATCCTGGGAGCCTGGTCTCTTGGAGAGCAACAATATTCATCTGTAGTTTGCTCAGCTCCCTATCGATGATTGCTATTTTTGGGGTGTCATTGATTTCTTGCAGGTCGTCAGAGAAGCCTGGTGTTAGTGTCTTGACGTTCCATGTGCCCAGCCTTAGGGCAGTTGATATTTTCATCTTAGGTTTGCTATTGCTTGGTGCAAAGTTGTCGAGCCGCTTGTCGGTTTTCACCCTAAACCCCACGCACCCAGTGAGGTTAACGGACTGTGGCGAGGCAACACCTTATTGGCTGGGGTTTGCTCAGCTTGAGGCGGGTGGTAGCTGCCCAGTGGGGCGCGATGACCCCTCCCACCGTCGGAAGCAACCCCTGGCGTCACACTCTTCGCCAATCGAGCAAAAGACTTAAAACCGGTAGACTGTCGTTTCCCGTGTTGGTTCGACCCTGTGAGGCGAAGCTGGAGTGTCCTCTCCAGGGCGCAAAGCCTGGGTAGGTAGATACGGAGGAGAAGCTGTTACCCATGCAGCAGGTCCCCCCTCTCCACAATGCTGAAATTATCCAATAGAAAGGCAAATGCCAATACACATGGTTCCAACAACGTCGCAGGAGCGGCCAGAACGAGGTCGTCGTCAACAACGAACTGCCTTAGGGGCTCCAACTCCGGAGTTTTCCTCGAGATTGACTCCTGAAGCCTTTCCCAAAAAAGGGGTATGGCCGCAAGGCAGCGGAGGATTAAAATCAGGGTTTTGCTTCCTCTAGATGGGCTGCCTTCCCAGGCTATCGAGTCCCATCTACCCGGAGCAGCTGGTTTTAAGGCGCCAGAGGCACGCCCTCGCCCCTTCTCCTGTCGGTAAAAGCAGTTCCATCGGACTTAAAGACAAAGCCACCCATGCTGGCCAGGATTTGGACTCGGTTGTCAAAGGCAATTTGAGACGCATATGCGTCTCAAATATCTCACCTATCCTTGCAGTATAGGTGAGGATATAATTCTTTCTTAAATACAAAATTAAGCAAGAGAAAGTTGATATCTCTGGCTTCCCTGAGGTGTATGAGTCTGGGCTGCCGTTGTTGTATCCGGCTTCCTTGAGGTGTACCAGCCTAGGCTGCATTTGTTGTATCTGGGTTCTCTGAGGTGTACCAGCCTTGGCTACAGTTGTGTGTGTGTAAGGGTTACCAGATCCTGCTTTGGGTTGACGACATTGTTGAAGTATTTAGAATTGAGATTGCTGGTATTACTTCGTCAGGAATATTAACAGTGTAAAGATTGAGTTCCAACCGCCTGTTAACAGTCTGAATGAATAAGATAAGTATTTTTACAATTATGTTTGCAATTGCAATAAATATTTGCACTTCACTTTCAGGTACTACTGCATCTGTACCTTATATCACAAAACATATTCAAGATTTCCTGTATCCTATATCTCATCCAACCTCCTTCATACCAGCTCTATGGTCATCCGATCAGTCTATAGTGATACTCTCTGATAACAAGAGCAAACACCGTCTTAGTCTTAATAACGAAGCTTAACTTGACATTGTATAAAGCTATCATGATATTTATTGCTTTAATAGCTCATTTGTTAATTGCTTTTAATGTGATTATCAAAGTTCGGATGTTAACGCCAAGGCAAAATAATGTATTGATGCATCTAACTGTTATATAAAGCGAAAAAAAAATGGTTTTAATGGTCCAACTAAAATAAACTTGAAATATTGATTAGGAATCAGTTTGAGGGCATCATATCGTGATGAAAGTATTGGGTATCAGTATGAGAGCATCACAGTGGATGAATTACGTATCATCATGAGGGCATCGCAGTGGAACAATTAGGTATCAACATGAGCTCATCGCAGTGGAACAATTAGGTATCAGGATGAGTGCATCGTGGTGGAACAGTTTGGTATCAACATGAGGACATCGCGGTGGAACAATTAAGTATGTGGAAAATTTTACCCACTATATCAATATTATTATCTATGAAATGTATTATTTATATACCATATCAGAATCCTTACAGATTCATTATATCGTTCATCTGGATCCTACATGACAATGCCACTATGATGATGTACACTGTAGGGCCAATGGTGCCTACGTGACTTTGGGCATGATTTCTCAAGGATCTACAAGCTTTGAGAAGAATATCTTAATTCAAAAAAAACTGTTGGAACAATCAATCGATTTCCAGTAAGGATTAAATCAAATCCTTAATAAGAATTATTAGTACTATCCAGTACTAACAATAATCTATAAATCCTGTATCTAATTATATTATAATCACATCATATCTCAATCATATGTCTAGACAGTAAAAATAATCACTAAATATACAGTGAAGGCTACCTTCCCCTGAGAAGGCGGAGCCAATTTAGGAGAGCAAGTGACCTAAGGGGCGCCCTGAGGCAGAAAGCGTTTGCTTACAAACAGTGAACACTTGTGATGGTGTCTTGCAAACATTTTCAGTAAAGGACACCATACTAACCTATCATCAGTGATTACTCTCTAGAACTGGGGGAGTACCTGGACTATATATCTATAAGGAAAAGTTCTTAGTACTTTATCTAAATAAGAGTGGAACACACCAAGTGACACCGCCTCCACCACACTAATCTTATCCTACTGCAAGGCAACTAAGAACATAATCAATTAGCAAAGCTGCTATTTTGTTATGAAAAATACAGTGCCTATTATCTCCAAGTGAAATTATACAGTCTCGCAATTTGTCAGACAGGCACTGGTACTCAGATTAAATAAACCAAGAGCATTGAGTGTTATTATAGTGTGGTGATTGGCCAATTGCATGCTTGTCTAACTTTAATCTATCCAATAAGTCTGTTTACTCTTACAGAGTGGGGCAACACTCCATATTTCAGTAAGTTTTTATTAATCTTTCAGTCACTGAATCTTTTCACCTTATCTAGACACTCATTTATATAAACCTCAGTCATTGAATGATAAGGAATGCTCGACTGAAACCCTTCATATAAATTAAATATATCAGTATACATAATTGATCATATGCAATTAGCTAACAATTGCTTACTTAGTTATCCTCAACTTATCATATAAGCTTATCATATTGAATATAATCTCTTGTGCCTAGATACCAGCACTTAGATCATATAAAGGTCCTTTGATTGCATATTTATATGTATCATACCTCTACAATATAAATTTTTGTATTTATTAGTATGTGAATTTTGGCTGTTGTAGTTATGGTGGTAGTCTGGACTGTGTACATGTTTATAACCTTGATTTAAACAGAACCAATGTTCAGTTATAAACCCAAGTTATTTACTCTTATCCTTGTATTAACAATACAAGCTGATGTGTCGAATTGTCTGCAGGTGGATAGTAGATCTTCAATCAACTTCTCCATTCACCCTTAGGGACCCCCACCTGCCCCTTACAGCCCAGTCTGTCATTAGGACAAGAGGAGCTAGACTTTATAACTCTAGCTAGGGACTTCAGTTGAATTTATTTTGCAAACAGTAGTTTTTTAATTTAGTACAGTTCAAGTCCCAAGTAGTTCTTCTCTTATATCAGTCCGACATTTTTCCCACGAGGTATCAACATGGGGGCATCGCGGTGGAACAATTAGGTATCAACGTGATGGCATCGCGGTGGAACAATTAGGTATCAACGTGATGGCATCACAGAGGAACAAATAGGTATTAACATGAGAGCATCGCGGTAAAAGAGAGGAACTTAAACATGCGATGTTCAGTATAAAGTGTAAAGGATGAACTTGTTTACAATCTTAACACATCAAACTATATACTCAATTGGAAGCATGATTACAGTTAATAAATATATGGTGAGGATAAATAAAAGACAAATATACATGCAGCTGGTGTTAATGTTTTAAATAAAATATAAAAAAACTAATTAAAATTACATACAATGCAAAAATGACAAACGAAGATGAGGCAAGAATTGGTAATAAGTATGAGTAATATCTAGCTTTAGTTGTACACATTTATATTTCTGTGGTCCCTTAATATGAAAAATTAAAACGCATCTTTAAATAAAACAAATCACAACATTTTTACAGAGGCTTAACTTGTAGGGGAACATGGATCTCCAGTGAGAGGAAAAAAGGACTTGAGCAATTTTAAAGTCACAGATGAGAGGATTTTTGTTTCCATTAGCAAGGTAAAGTTGTTAACATTATTACGGATCTTCATTAACATACATGTATATAAGGGAGTATTTCCTAACCTCCGACCCACTCTGTATATCGCCTAAAGTAAGCAATTATAAAAAGTGTATATCAGCAAAAAACACGATAAAGTCCAAGTTTAATGGAGTCGATCAATGAAGAACGTGTCAGTCACAAGCTCCAAACACAGTACCAACACACTGATGGTGTGGCCAGCAGTCAGGATGACAAACATTCCCTGTAATGACAGAGTTAACACCATTAGTGACCGAGACACACACACATATTATCATCATCAAAACTAGTCTAAGAACTTGCTAATATTCATGTTTTCTTATGCAAGTAAATGTGAAAGAGGTGCATTACCCAGATGTTGTTAAGAGAGAGAGACTCCTGGACGGTGATGGTGGTGGGAGCCTGGTAACACACAGTGGAGTTGGGCTCCGCCGCCTTCATCCAGTACCTGAACAGTCCCGCCTCCGTCACCGCGCGGATCCTTTCACACCATAAAGATTCAAATTTATATTATACTCATGACCAAATCACTCATTAGAAGATGGAGAAACGACGACGTTTCGGTCCGTCCTGGATCATTATCAAATCGTATGGTACAGGACGGAACGAAACGTCGTGATTTCTCCATCTTCTTGTGTGTGGTTTGGTCAACATATCTTTAGCCACGTTACTGTGACTCATCGTCTGTATATTGTGCGCAGATTCAACAAAACCTGAGCCCTTTAATCCTATCGTGGAGGAACACCCACAGGCAGTGCAAGTGGTATTGAAGGGGAACACCCACAGGCAGTGCAAGTGGTATTGAAGGGGAACAGCCACAGGCAGTGCAAGTAGTATTGAAGGGGAACAGCCACAGGCAGTGCAAGTGGTATTGAAGGGGAACACCCACAGGCAGTGCAAGTAGTATTGAAGAGGAACACCCACAGGCAGTGCAAGTGGTATTGAAGGGGAACACCCACAGGCAGTGCAAGTGGTATTGAAGGGGAACACCCACAGGCAGTGCAAGTAGTATTGAAGGGGAACAGCCACAGGCAGTGCAAGTGGTATTGAAGGGGAACACCCACAGGCAGTGCAAGTAGTATTGAAGGGGAACAGCCACAGGCAGTGCAAGTGGTATTGAAGGGGAACACCCACAGGCAGTGCAAGTAGTATTGAAGAGGAACACCCACAGGCAGTGCAAATGGTATTGAAGAGGAACACCCACAGGCAGTGCAAGTGGTATTGAAGGGGAACACCCACAGGCAGTGCAAGTAGTATTGAAGAGGAACACCCACAGGCAGTGCAAGTAGTATTGAAGGGGAACAGCCACAGGCAGTGCAAGTGGTATTGAAGGGGAACACCCACAGGCAGTGCAAGTGGTATTGAAGGGGAACAGCCACAGGCAGTGCAAGTGGTATTGAAGAGGAACACCCACAGGCAGTGCAAGTGGTATTGAAGGGGAACACCCACAGGAAGTGTAAAATTGTCTACAAAGGGTGGTCAGTAGACCAGCCTTCATCAGAACTTGTTAATGAGGTACGTTTGGTACCCACGGTACGAGTTCCAATACCAGGCCGTGCATGTGTGGCAGTATGAATATCATAATCCTTGCTCCCCTCACTTTCAGTTTCATTATCATCTGCTGTTTCCGTTTCAGTGAATTCACTATCTAAATCACTATCACTCAGCACTTACTATATCAGATAAATCATCACATAGCCTTGAATTTTGAGGGTGTGAGTGTCTCCATAATATACTTTTGGTGTGCACTACTTAGACTCTTCCTCCGAAGTGTTTCTTTCACTGATTTCTTCCTGGAATGACGCTGTTCGTGATCACTATCCATCTTGGAGTACAAGCAGAGAGTTGTTAAAGCCGCAGTGAGAAACATAGCCGAGGAAAATAGCCAGAACGTTCACATGTTTGAGACGCGAGGGGAGGCAGGAGCGGTCACTATCATGGGACGATAACAATGGGCCTACCTCCTGGGTCGTGCTGCCTCAGTGCCACATGGGCCATCATAGAAAATGGGAAGACGTTGGCGCCAATTCTAAAACTAGTCCCCCCCCCCAAAAAAAAACGGATAAAAACTTGAATTTTAGGAATTCTTTTAATTTTTGATGCGTCATTCCCGCACATTCATCTAATGAATTTTTGACACCATGCTGCGTTGTCTGCAAATGAATTTTAATAAATATTTTATCTCTGTATATACTGAAGAGGAACTTAACAATATGCTATCAGCTAAACAAGTATATGGGGGTGGGGAAGAGAACAGGTTGACTAGTTTAACAGTTACCAGGGAAGATGTTATTAAACAAATAATTGAACATAAGCCAAACAAATCCCCGGGGCCGGATGAAGTGTTTGCCAGGGTGCTTAAAGAATGCAATGAGGAGCTTTGCGAGCCATTGTCAACCATATTTAATAAATCATTAGTCAGGCAGAGTTCCAGAGTCTTGGAAAATTGCTAATGTGGTACCAATTTTCAAGAAAGGAGACAGATCAATTGCGTCACACTATCGGTCATTAGCTTAACGACTAGTGTGGTAAAGTTACTTGAATCGATAATTACAAATACCATGTGTCTTCATCTTGAAAAACATAATAAATGATTCACAACATGGTTTTACAAATGGCCGTTCATGTTTAACAAATTTGCTATCATTTTATTCCAGCGTAGTTGAGGCAGTTGATAGTGATAAGGTTTGTGATGTTGTGTACCTTGACTTTAGCAAAGCTTTTGATACGGTGTCCACATGAAAGACTGATTAAAAAGATAGAGGCTAACCACATTGGGGGTGCTATATTAAAGTTGTATTTAGGGCAGATCCCTTTCGCAACCTGACTTCGCAATCTCAACACCATATAGCTCGTATCTTGTAACTATTATCATTACCTAGCATCAAACCTTTCATTTGTCAGCATTAAACTGCATCTGACAATCTATTGACTATTTCAAAACTTTATTTAGATCGCCTTGAAGTGATAGTGAGCATTTTTCGGTGTTTATTACCCTCCCGATTTTTGTATCATCGGCAAATTTGGAAATATTGCTGCTCAATCCTGAATCTAAATCATTTATATATATTATGAATAACAGAGGTCCCAGAACAGAGCCTTGGGGCACTCAACTTGCAATTTTTACCACTCTGACTTAACCCATTTGATACTAACTCTTTGTTTCCTTTGGTATAGCCATGCCCTAATCCACCTTAATATAGCACCCCCAATACCGTGAGCCTCAATAGCTGAGGCTCTCCGAGACTGATCCCGCAGTCTCTCCGAGACTGCGGGATCAGTGTGACAGCAGTAGCACTCCCGGTTGCAATTCTTTTGACCATGTCGTGGCGCAGTCGACTAAGGCGCGTCTGGGATCATCTCGGACGTAGGTTCGAATTCTCATCACGGACCTTGTGGATTTGTTCACTTAATTTACATTCTCTAGAAAGGCCAAGAATTAGGGCTGTACAAGTGGATGAATGGGCATAACAAAAGGATACTAATAGGGTATTAAAAGTATTAACACAAAATATAACAGGAAACAATTGGTATAAATTGAATAAGTTTAGATATATGAAAGACCTGGGAAAATACTGGTTCAGTAACAGGGTTGTTGATTTGTGGAACTAATTACCGCGTAACATAATAGAAGTAGGATCCCTCGATTGTTTCAAGCGTAGGTTAGACATATGTTTGAATAACATTGGGTAGAAATAAATGGAAGTTGCCCCGTATGGGACATTAGGCCTACTGCAGTTACCTTCATTCTTATGATAGTACTTATTAGGGTGTTTAGCTGCCGCGCACCTTTTTCACCAGAAGAGTGGCAGTGTTGATGGCGTCAAGGTCGTTAATGCAAGATTCAGGGACTCTCAAAGCTCTTCTAAGGTCGTTGGTGAGTTCACATTCCTGGAGATAGTGACATAGTGACTTTTATTTTATTGTTTGACAGAAGATGCATTCCCACTCTCTGGGTTCACCAATTTTCCAGTTGCATCTTCAACCTAGAGGTAGTCTATATAACAGAACTGCTATTTCCCTGTGGATTGACTTCCTGATATTTAACCTGTCTAACTTGGTTGCCTGAAGATACCATACTGCAGAGGGCGAACCTTCTGCTACTCTCTGTAGCAGATTGGGCTTTGCTGAAGTGTGCAAGTTTTTTGGTTGTGTTGTTTTAGAGTCAGCTACTCGGAATAAAAAGTTCCAAGTAGAACGGGCTATGGTGAGCACGTAGTGGACTTATTAGGTTCAGGTAAGTCCAGGCAACCTTACTTGTGCTGGTTACTTGTAAGTAACGGCACCTTTAAGGAGGTGCAGTTAAAGGCCTGATGCAGTAAGAGACATTCTGTAACGAATTTTGTTATGGTGCTTTTTTATATACTCTCGGCTGGGTTGGATACATTTGTGAATCACTGGATGACGAGTTCAGTAGCTTCATTCATTTTCATTTAATTGGATTGCAACATGGGATGGGAGCCAGTTAAGGGTTATGTCGAGTTCTTTGCCTTTAGCTACTGCTCTAGATACAGAACAGTGATAATTATTTCCACGTTGTCTTTCCACTGTTTTTTCCCTAATATTTGAAGTGCAGCTTTTGAGTCTGTGTGTATGACTGCACTTTTAGTGTTATGTGAATACATATGCGAATGCCTGCTGTATGGCAAACAGCTCAGTTTGGGGTGATAATACTAGTACTCCCAGTCTCCAATATGCCTGTTCGCTGTCCGTGCAAAGAGCAGCACCAGCACTCATAATCTGTCTCCACCTGTGAAGATGTGGGTGGTACCTGCTTCTGCAATGCTGGTTATTTGCTCTTCTAGGATGCGCCTTAGGATTGTTGGATTATAGGCAGCCCTTTAATAGCGGAAGATTTTATATTACTATTTTGAAGAGAGGCTCTTCCCACGGTGGGGAACAGGTGTAGTTTGGGTGTAGATAGTCACCTCCTTTATCAAGAATAATGCTTTTTAATTGTAGTATTTAAACGACTTCTCCCGCCCTGGCAGCCCAGGAGTTTCAGCTGTTTGGGCCAAGTGCAACCACCAAGACATGTCCTACTGGGTCTGGCTCAGGAGAAACAAATATCTTACTGATAATCGTAGCTGTTCATTGAAATATTCTTTTTTGAACAGAGGGTTACCCCTTTCGAGTCATAGAGTTTCAAGTCTGGTACACATAGGGGCTTCCATGGCAGCTCTCATAGCATTGTTTTGTGCTACCTAAAGCACTTGTTCCACTGTTGTTGTGATTGGCTTTTGAGTACAGGTGCTGCATAGTCCATCACCGATTTGACTGCCTGTACATCATATGTGCGAAGAACTTGCAGATTGGCTCTTCCAGAGAGGAGGGCTAGCAACCTGAGGATTGCCGTCCGGGCAGCAGTTCTCTCTCTGTCAAGAAAGTGACTTCAGCATTAAAATTTATGTGTCCAGGATTATTCCTAGATACTGATAAGTATGAGTACCCATTCAAATGGTTGACCCTGTACTGTGAGTT